CACACAGACGGTCACACACAGACAGTCACACACAGTCACACACTCACAGGCAGTCACTCACTCACAGGCAGTCACACAGACAGTCACACACTCACAGGCAGTCACACAGACAGTCTTACACTCACACAGACAGTCACACACTCACACAGACAGTCACACACAGACAGTCACACACTCACACACTCACACAGACACTCACACACTCACACAGGCAGTCACACACAGACAGTCACACACCCACAGGCAGTCACACACTCACAGGCAGTCACACACACTCACAGGCAGTCACACACACTCACGCAGGCAGTCACACACAGACACTCACACACTCACACAGGCAGTCACACACAGACAGTCACACACTCACAGGCAGTCACACAGAGACAGTCACACACTCACAGGCAGTCACACACAGACAGTCACACACTCACACACAGTCACACACTCACAGGCAGTCACACAGAGACAGTCACACACTCACAGGCAGTCACACACTCACAGACAGTCACACACAGTCACACAGAGACAGTCACACACTCACAGGCAGTCACACACTCACACAGACACAGTCACACACTCGCAGGCAGTCATTCACTCACAGGCAGTCACACACTCACAGGCAGTCACACACTCACACTCACAGACTGACCTGCTTCTTACCTCCTGCTTGGAGCTCCTGGAGGCTGGTTGTTGGGGAAGCAGGGACTCCTTCCTGCTTCCCATGCTGCAGTCAGCCGGGCCCTGCCCCCGTCGCACTAAGCCCCGCCGCAAATTTTCTTTTTTTTTTTTTTTATGATCCCGGCCGGCCGTGTGTGAGCTGTGCCGGCCGCCAGGCTCCCCCTGCTCCCATGGGGCTCTGTGCAGCCACACAGCTCACACATGGCCGGCCGGGATCACAGGAGCTGTCAGCCCAATGATCAGGGCTGTCAGACCGGCCCCAGGTGCCGCGGCCCACCGGGAAATTTCCCGGTATCCCGGTGGGCCAGTCCGGCCCTGTTGGGAGCCCAGTCTCCATTCCCCAGTGGCAGTATGAGTTATTGGGAATTGGGAGCCCAGTCTCTATTCCCCAGTGGCAGAGTGTCCTACAGGGAATAGAGAGCCCAGTCTCCTTTCCCCAGCAGCAGGACTCTGTATTGGGAGCAGAGACAGTCAGTCTCCCTTCCCTGCAGCTGGAAGTATGTATGGGAGAGGAGCTTGTTACCCCCTCTCCCCAGCGGCAGCTTAACGTACCGGGGGGGGACAGTAAGCCCCACAACCGTGCAGATGGGACCGTGGTCTCTGCATTTACAGCACGGGGGGTAGGGATGGTCCTGCCCCCCAGCGACAGGGCTGTTTAGCCAAAAGGGAGACAGTCGGTCTCCCCCTCCGGCAGCAGAGCTGTGTATCTAAAGGGGAGACAGTCGGTCTCCCCCTCCAGCCACCAGGCTCCAACCAGACTACTCCCGTGGTAGTGCTGGCACCAGGGCAGAGTACCACTGGTCTCTGCCCACTCAGCAACCCACCAAGTCAGCTTACCAGTCACCCACACAGCCAGGGTGAGGCACCTGGACATGGACAAAGTTCTCCTCTACCCAG